GTCCCAATTTAACCATGCGGTGTGGGGGGCGGGAGACAGAGAGAATAAGCCAGAAAAGCCCATAACCGCCAGTACCTCTGCTTCCTTCCTAGACAAAACTTCCTGAGGAAATGGAGGAAAGCTCGTGGGAGGTCCCAATTTAACCATGCGGTGTGGGGGGGGGGGGACAGAGAGAATAAGCCAGAAAAGCCCATAACAGCCAGTACCTCTGCTTCCTTCCTAGACAAAACTTCCTGAGGAAGTCATTTATTTATTTATTTATTTAACCCCCACCTTTCCTCTAAAGACTGAGTATACAATGGTGGTTTTCATCACTACATGACGATATTTGAAGCTAAGAACAATTAGTATAAAGAGGCAGCTTACATAATTAAAAGACCATGTTAGAGCTAAAGCAATATGTATGCAAATCTTAAAAAGGAACAAACAAATGCCGCACTTAGAGATGCTTAAGTAGTACTAAAGACCCACTCAGAGCAGTAGTGCACAACAATCCGTCTAAAAAGTCACTCATGTTGCCCATCACTGAGAGAAAGCTTGCCTGAAGGGAAAAGTCTTTATATAGTTCTTTTCCCCTGGTGATTTTATTACCACCACAATCCTGTCACATTGATCAGGATGTGAGCAGGGCTGAACCAAAGACATTTTTGCTGCCCAAGGACTAGATCGTACCCTCTCTGTTGCATGGATAGAAGCTGACTGACTTGGAAACTGACCCTTATTTCAACACTGAGACAATGTGATGGCATCAACAGGCTAATTTAGGGGCTGCAGGTAAGATGACTTAGCACATGGTTCTCTCTCCTGGTGCCATGCTGTTACTGCTGCCACCTTCTACCATTTGCTGTCTGAGGCAGTTGTCCCACTACGGCTTTGATGAATGTGTCAGGATGAAATGACCTCCTGCAGACAGTATGAGGGTAGCCACATGAAATGGAGGACAGTGCTCCCGTATCTTCAACAGGTGAACAGAAGAGAAAATTTCCAGAGGGTAGGTGACACTACTGAAATTTCCTCTACTGTATAATGTCATTTCCCTTTACCTGTGGGAAATGTCATATAGGCTAGGCCAGGGATAAGGAGAGTTGTAGCCCAGCCAAATCTCGATGGCTACATATGCTTCATCTCCGGTCTAGACATTTCAAATCCTTGGATCAAGAGAGAGGGTGGGGGCTAGAAGTAGAATCTAGAAGACTGTTGCTGGAATTCTCACTGCAGAGAACTTATAAGAATTGCAGTCCTCCTCTATCTCACTTTTTCCTGCTTCTTCTGTTTCTCTTCTAGGATGTGACCAGTGTCATTGTCAGGTACGGAGCTCCATTTCCACCCTCTCTTGTTCTTTTCCCATGAATTAACTGAAAGGTCAGTGCCATCCATTCAGAGAAGGACAGTGCCGGGGACCTACTGCAGCAAATCTCCTTTGAATCAGCATAGATCCCAAGCTCCTTGTAACTTCTCCCAGGACTCAGGGCAAATACGATCTCTCTCTTCTCTGATGGTCTCTGATTTCCTTTCCCCACATAAGCAGCACAACTGGCAGGAGTCCAGTATAAAAAGGGAGCAGAGGATGGATAAAGAGTTATGCTGTTGATATTTATGTGACATGAAATTCAGTTCTTGAGACACTGGGGTAGAATGCAATGCTTCTCGGCCTGGAAGTCTTAAACAGGCGGGCTGGCTGTCCCTTATGGACTAGGCTAAGAGTGTTGTTCACAGATCAAGTGGATCTGTCAAAGTTTAGGAAATTGTGGAGGCCACTCCACTTAGACTGCATTATAAAAGTATCTCTCTCCTCCCCCATACCTTTCCATGTAATTCCCATTTTAAAAGAATTATGCAAGTGAAATTCCCATTTTAAAAGAATTATGCAAGTGAAAATCAAAGGCGATTTAAGGCTTGTAATGTGAAAATGTACTTAAGTAGTAAAGCAAGGTTATGCCTGTTTGTGTCAGAATCAGCTGAGTCCATCAACTGTCTTGCAATCCTCTTTTTTAACTGGTGTGTCAGAGTCCATTAACTGTCTTGCAATCCTCTTTTTTAACTGGTAGAAGTGATGACGTTAAATGTCCGAAGCCCATCTTTGTTTCTTCTGACATGAAGGGCCATATCTGCAATTTCACTGTGAAGACTGTGGTCCTCAAGAGCGCACTAAAGAAATTCAAAGGTAAGGAAAAGGATAACCTTTCCATTTAAATACAATTCTTATTTTGACATTTGATGAAGCAGTTTTGGGTTGTTGTGGTTTGGAAGCTTGGATTATGTCAGAAAATAATAATTGTAACTGGAACAACAATATGATGCAACAGAATAATATAAGCTTTATGACCTGCCACTGTGGTCAATGAACACTGTAAACACTGAGAAGAGCCATAGATGCCAGATGCAAGCTGGTTCTCTTTACAATGATGTATTGTGGTCAATGAACAGCTGCTGTAAAGACTGAGAAGAGCCATAGGTGCCACATGCAAGCTGGTTCTCTTTACAATGATGTAGACAAAATAGAAAAGGAGAAGAGTGGAATGTAATGATTGGCACATATATGGGTTTGTGAAGGAATCTAGTTGGCCTTTGTTTTGGGGACTACAGTAGCATCCTTGTATCTGCGGGTTCGGTACCCGCTGTTTCAGTTATCCGCCATTTACCACAACCCGATACAGTATATAACAGACAAGACCATGGGCTTTCTGGCCTTTGTTCCACTCCCTTGTGGCGTTTGTCCCACTTCCTTATATGTTGTATATAGGGTTTACTACTATCCACTGTTTCAGGCATTCACAGTAGATTATGGAACTGATTCCCCATGGATACAAGAATCCTACTATCCTTTATTACAGGGCGAGGAAACTTTGGCCTTCTGCATGTTTTGCACAGCAGCTCCCACCATCCTGTACCATTGCCTAGGCCACTGGTTCTTAACCTTGGGTTACTCAGGAGTTTTGGACTGCAACTGAGGAAACTTTTCTGCATTTTTTGCACAACACCTCCCACCATCCTGTACCATTGCCTAGGCTAAGTGAGGAAGATGGAAATCACAGTCCAAAATATATGGGGAACAAATGTTCTTTCTCCCCACAGTACCAGATGGATCTCTCATCTGAATCTGCAGGCTTTTTATCATGTTCCAAGGCAGGCATGATTTTTTTCTTTTCTTTTTTCTTCTTTTTGACAAGGACTTTATTTTTTTTTAGAGTAACTGAGGCATGAGAAGGTTTTCTGCTCCTCACCATTTATGCCGCCCCTTTTTCTCCCCCACTCATTCTTTTTCTGGCACTTTCTTTGCTGCTCTCATTCTGTTTCTGTCCACTCCTTCCCCCCTCATACTTTCTTCCACCCCTTTCCTGCTTGTGCTTACTTTTCTGCTACACATTTTTCTCCTCTTTCTGCCCCCCTTTCCTGTTACACTTTTCTTGTCTCTCTCCCTCTCATTTTCTTCCATTCCTTTGTCTCTTCTTCTCTCTTTCCTCCCTTTCTCCCGGTTTTTCTGCCCTTGTGTCCCACATGAAGCCAGGCGAATCCTGTAGGCTTCCCACCTTGTTCTAGTAGTAAGGACGCAGGGAGGGGGACTCTCTTCAGCCTCTGATTTTGGGAGATGGCACTTTCCTCACACATCCTCTCTAGCCTCTTTTTCCTTGCTTTTCCTGGATGTAGCAAGATGGGTGGTATAGAAGTCAGACAGACAGACAGATAGACAGACAGACAGACAGACAGATGGTCATAATCTCTAGTATTCCAGATAGAACCAGATGGTTAAAATGGCATTTTTGCAGACTCTGGATGGGGTGCAAACTGCTGGGGAAAATATTAAGTAATACTACAGCACATTTGAATGAAAACTTTTTTGGATACTGTTTAATCCAAACTTGTACTGATGGGGTACTTATTTCAGATCACCTGCGGGATGAACTGGGGAAAGGTGAAAAAGGTAAGTGCTAAAAACGAAATAGAGCTTCTGACAAACTAAATTATATCCATCTACATTCAAAACAGGTCTCTATTTGTTGAACCAAATACACCCAGAAATGATTTGAAAGGAAAACTTTTCAGTATTAGTGCTAAAAAAAAATCTCTTTGCCAGCATTCTGTTCTCTGTAATGCCTGAATGTTGTTAGTTTAGTAGCTCATAATTATCGTATTGGTCCTGAAGAGAAGAAAATATTAATATAACTTTTTATAAGAATATGACTGACATTATATTGCATTACTTCTCTAATTCAATGGCTACACTTAGAAGATGTTATTAAATCAAATTATATATGAACACAACAAAAACTAATGAAATAAATAAAAAATATATAATAAAACTAGAAATTAAAGAAGATAGCAAGAGCTGTTCAGCAGTAGAATGTCCAGCAGTCAGAACTGACTTGACAGGACACAAGCATCATAGCAGTTCATAGGTAAAGGTAAAGGTAAAGGTTCCCCTTGACAATTTTTGTCCAGTCGTGTTCGACTCTAGGGGGCAGTGCTCATCCCCGTTTCCAAGCCATAGAGCCAGCGTTTTGTCCGAAGACAATCTTCCGTGGTCACATGGCGAGTGCGACTTAGACACGGAACGCTGTTACCTTCCCACCGAAGTGGTCCCTATTAATCTACTCGCATTTGCATGCTTTCGAACCGCTAGGTTGGCAGGAGCTGGGACAAGCGACGGGCGCTCACTCCGTCGCGTGGATTCGATCTTACGACTGCTGGTCTTCTGACCCTGCAGCACAGGCTTCTGCGGTTTAGCCCACAGCGCCACCACGTCCCTTTAGCAGTACATAGCTCAGGTGAAATAGAGTGTAATTCCATTTGAATTGAACTGGTTATTTCTAATTTTGTATGCATACCTAGAAATTATTTGGTATGTGTCATCAAGTCATGTCTGGGTTATGGTGACCCTAAAAGAATTTTTGAACTATGCAAGATGTTCAAGGAGTAGCTTACAATTGCCATCCCCACTGAGTTTCCATGGCCAGGCAAGGATTTGAACCGAGTTCTCTTGAGTTCTAGTCCACTATATACCACGATACCTCTTATGTACATCCGGTTTTATCCAAACAGGAATCCTTATACTTGGTAATGCATGTCCCCTTTCTTCATGACATGCAAGTGACCACCCTTTGTAAAACATAGGGGAAGTAGAACTATAATTTCTATATCCCCTCACACCTTTTTCACTATTGTTGTGGCACTTGTGACTGTTGACTTAATGCTGTTATCCTGCATACTAGAGGAGCTGCTTCTGGACCCAGAGACAGCCAACCACCTCCTCATCCTCTCGGCAGACTTCAAGGGTGTGAAGATGGGCTGCAGGAGGCAAGATCTACCCGACAACTCCAAGCGCTTTGACACCAACTCTCGAGTCCTGGCCACCCAGGGTTTTACCTCAGGCAGGCATTACTGGGAAGTGGAGGTAGGGTCTGCAGATGGCTGGGCCTTTGGCGTTGCCAAGGAATCGGTGCGAAGGAAAGGACTGACTCAGTTTTGTCCTGAAGAGGGAATCTGGGCCTTGCAACAAAATGGCGGGCGATACTGGGCCGTCACCTCCCCTCAACGTACTCCAATTTTCCTGGCCGAAAAGCTCACCAAAGTTAGAGTCTACTTAGACTACGAGGGAGAAGAGGTGTCCTTCTACAATGCTGAAAATATGCAGCATATCTTTACTTTTAATGTTGCCTTCACGGAAAAGGTGTTTCCGCTCTTCTCAGTTTGTTCCACTGTGACTTACATTAAACTTTGTTCCTGAAATGAGTAGGATGCATCGTTTGCAAGGCAGTGAGCTGCTGTATGCCTGCGCACACAACCTGGCATAATGTCGCTTGCTTTTCATGCCAAGACCTACCTTACTGGTGGCGATCACTGAGGACTGGTTGCATGACCATGAAGCGTGACTGGTGACTGCAGAAACAGCGCTCGGGATGTCAGTGTGTTGTGGCCTTTAGTCTGGAGCACATTGGCTGTGTGTGTGTGTGTTTGCCTGCTTGTCTGCTCACGGCAAAAAAAGAGGTGTTTCTAAATGGGTGGAAGGCACAGACATCCAGGCGCTAAAGTAAGAAGCCTTAATTTTTGAGATGCTTTTTTCAGAACCCAGCCTCACTTCATTATGACTGGTGCTAGACATAAAACTGTGTATTTTTCTTGCTCGCCTGAAAGTTAGAAGGCATTTTTCTTAATGAGATGCAATCTTTATCCATCATTTTATTTCATCACTGCTAAAATGAGGGTGGGCAACTATAATCCCATGCCCTCCAGATATGGGGCTGCAGCTTTTCTCATCTCTGAGCCAACGGTTGGGAATAGTTCCTTTTTTGAATTAAAGTTCCAAAGCCAACAGTGGCCAGAAACGATTCTAGGTTCAGGATTTTAATTCCATTGGTAGCCAGTGGGGAAATTCTTCTTTCAAGCTTCTCCCTTGATTGGTGGCTATAGTAGTTGTAACCCCAAACATCTGAAGGGCACCAGCCTATCTCCCCCCGTCCTGTCATACTGTGTACTACTATTTATGATCTGGGGACTGTGATAGAGAGAAGAAAATTATGCCAAATTTGCATGTTCTGTGATCAACGCATGCTTTTAAGTTCCAAATGCCATTTCTTTTCTGCTCAACCGTGTGAGAGGGGAGATGTGCAAGAGAAAGGTGGGTAGGGGAACAGGGTGCTTAACCCTTTCCCTTCTTTGCTAGCTACCTTCCCCTGAAACTTCTCCCTGCCAGATTTCCAAATCTGTCTTTCCATTGCAGATATGATGCTTCTGGTGCTCTGGCAAAGGGGAGGGGGAGAAACAACCAAGGAAGAAATTATAGGGGTGGTTGAGGCAATGGCAAGTTTGGTGAGGTTGAGCATCCAGTTTATCACTTGTTGCTCCCCCTTGGGGAGCGCTCAGCACAAGGTAGCCGGGGAGAATAGGGACTTGTATGGTGTTTTCTTTTTCTTTTCTCTTTTTTTTACCTTTGTGCAAGTGTACACGGCTCTGATTTGAACATGAGCAGCATCCTGATGGGGGAAGTAAAAGCCCCACTGTTGGTTTTATTAGCACACATGCACCAGCACCTTATTCATGTAGGGAAAAAAAACAAAGAAAAACTTCACTGGTGCTAATAAGGTTTTTTCAAAGGCCTCTGTGGGATAGTAATGCCAAATTTTGAAACAGCAGAAACTCAGATGAGAAGCGCTTTAAACCTTCCCTACCTATCATGCAGGTTCTCATCTGGATTGAGGTCTTAACATCTTTACCAAAGGGTAACAAGAAAATGATCTTAACTTGTAGAATATATAATGCACTGGGCAGGACTTGAACATGTGAATTATCCACAGAATGTGTCATTCTCATGAACACATGTAGTCTTAATGAATAATCAAGACTTCTGAGTTTTATCTTATCAATGAGAAAAGAGCAGCAATGGAAATGCATTGATTTATACACACAGTATATATTTTAAATTTTGTTCACAGTTCCAAAACAGGGACATAAACCTTCACTAGAAATTCCACATGTGAATTCCTTCGCTAGAAATTCCTTCATTAGATTTCAACCATAATTACCACTACAGGAGTTGTATCAGGAGACAGCTATCTAGTTCTCTCGTGTACTCCCAGAGGTCTCTTGTGGGGCCCCTGTGATATACAGGAAGCTGGACTAGATGGGCCCTTGGCCTGATCCAGCAGGGCTCTTCTTATGCTCTTATGTTCTACTCAAAATGGAGCATCATGCTATGTGAGACATGAGGTATCCACAAAAGTCTAGTCAAGTAACATGCTTCAAAAGAATGGATTTTTTTCTTGTCAGCTGAGCAATCCTGCTTTGGCTCTTTCAAGTAATTGCTGCTTTCTGCATATCTGCAAATCCAGCACAGCTAGCTGATGATGAAGACTTCTGGGAATTGCAGTCCAATAACATCTGGGTTACACAAAGTGTAACTATGGGTGTTTCTTCCACCGATTTTCACTTCTTCTTCTGTATCTAATCCATCTTTCTGCATGATATGTTCTGCATACAGATCAGATAAAATGCACCCTTGTCTGGCCCCCGGCCTTGCCTATAGGAAACCATTCTCTCTCCATATTCTGTCCAAATGGTAGCTTCTTATCCACAATACAGGTTACACATCAGGACAATCGAGCGCTGAGGCACACCCGTTTCTTTCAGAACAACCCATAGCTTCTATGAAACCACAAAGTCAAAGTCTTTGCTGTAGTCTATAAAACATAGACTAATCGTTTTCTGAAATTCTTTGGTGTGCTCCAGTAGCCAGCAGATATTTGCAATATGATCTTGAATGCCTTTTCCTTTTTGGAATCCAGCTTGAACATCAGTCATTTCTCACTCCATATAAGGTAAAAGTCTTTGTTGCAACCCCTTTGAGCATCACTTTGCTTGCATGCATGGGAAATTAGAGCAATGGTTCTGTAGTTACTGCACTCCTTGGGATCTCCTTTCTTTGGGATTGGCATGTAATTATCTCTTCAGAAATGCATTCCTTCAGAGTTGCTGTGTGTGCAAACAACTTCCAAATGAAGTTGGTGCTGAGAGGCCTTTCCAGATAACACCCCCCCCCCGGAGCCCGTTCTATTGCAAAGCATGTTATCTGCTTAGGCTTGGCTACTGCTGAAAGGGTTCCTCTTAACCCATCTGAAAATCTGTATACAAATTGGGTCAAGTCGCATAATGACAGGACATTGGTACTGGTTTGCTGGTGGAGGGACATTTTCGGCTGACAGAAGTGCTGTGCAATTGGGGGATTGCCAGTGTTGCACTGAGCGGATGACGTGCTGTCAGTCTAGAACTGCTCTCCTGTAATCCTCCCAGTTCAACCACTAAATTTGTAAATAAACTGATGATTACTCAGAGGCCATTTGCAGTGCTCTTCTTAAGGTAACTAAATGGATAAAATGTGGTTCATCTGTTGTCTTTTAGGCTTCTGTGGACTCCTCCCCCCCAGGTTTATCACACAGCAGTGTAAATTGTTCAGGTTTTCCACAACAGAAAATTAAACTGGATGATGATCGACTATGAATGCAACCAAACGCTACAAACCTTATAGGCTGAAAATACTGCTCTTTTAACTGGATATTTTTAACTGGATATCATTAATTGGATATATGTTTTATGAAACTAGAATCGGCTGGATAGCTCAGTGCATTAGGTATCTGAAACTAGAACTGGCTGGATAGCTCAGTGCATTGGGTATCTGGCTGGGAGTTCATTTCCCCACTCTACCTCTTAGGGGAAGAGCCTAGTGGGAGCTGCAGAGTTGTGTGTGAGGAAATTGATTGCGGCCTTATAAAATAATAAATACATTTATTCTTATTATGCAGCAGATAAAATGGCTCTGGCAGGAACCTACAGAGCAGATTGAACTCTGGCTGGATAGCTCAGTGCATTGGGTATCTGGCTGGGAGTTCATTTCCCCACTCTACCTCTTAGGGGAAGAGCCTAGTGGGAGCTGCAGAGTTGTGTGTGAGGAAATTGATTGCGGCCTTATAAAATAATAAATACATTTATTCTTATTATGCAGCAGATAAAATGGCTCTGGCAGGAACCTACAGAGCAGATTGAACTACAGTCTCCTTCAGTAGATAACCTCTTATTCATTAGTTTAGCTCACTGGTTCTTAACCTTGGGTTACTCAGGAGTTTTGGACTGCTACCTCAGTAGACAACCTCTTATTCATTAGTTTAGCTCACAGCCTCTCAATACATTCACTGCGAGACTCTGGCAATGAAAAAGAATAAAATATTTCAGTTTACTCACAGTTCTCCTTACATAAAAACAAACATCTTGTTGTGTGGAAATGTTAACCTGTTACATTACTGAGTTTAACGGGTTAATTTGCTTCATTACTGCAGTCTCTCAATACATTCACTCAGAGACTCGCAATGAAAAAGAATAAAATATTTCAGTTTACTCACAGTTCTCCTTACATAAAAACAAACATCTTGTTGTGTGGAAATGTTAACCTGTTACATTACTGAGTTTAACAGGTTAATTTGCTTCATTACTGACTAACTGACTGGTTACACTGCTGACAGAACACTTCACTATAACTGTCCACTTCTGACAGGCTCCATTGCTAACACAGACAGAACATTAACTGAATCATGTCTGGGGGGAAAAGGGTGGGAAAAAGAATCTGAGGTAGAATGGAAAGGTTTGGCTGCTACTGAGTTGACGGACAGCAGCCCCAGTCCAAAAAAGTCTCTCCCAGCAAAAACCTCTTAAAGGCATCACGTGAGGGTGTAATATTCCAGCAGAGCCAGCCTGTGTGGCTTTTGGGCCAGCTGTACAGTCCCAGGGGACCCCAGAAGAAGAGAAGGATAAACCACTTCTGAGTGCTGTTTACCTAGAAAAGACTGGAAAGGGTTGCCCTAAGTCTGGCCTAACTAGATGACAGATGGTTATGATTCATTATGAAACTAGTATCCCTACACTTTTAATTGCGGAGTTCCATTTCCGGGTGCAATCAGAGGGCAAGAAAGATCTGATTTCACCAGAAAGGGTTCCTTTTTTGGCAGCCATCTCCCTTCAAGCAACCCTTCCATCCACGGGGGAATTGCTCCAGTCTGGGCCCCAAAAGTTGTAGCCCTAGTGTTCGACTGACAAGGTCCAGCTTGGGCAAAGGTTAGGTTCGGTCTTGCGTGCTGTTGCCCATACCATCGGATGACTGCATCAAACCGTGCCAAAGGCAGTCCAAAATGCCCACTGCATTTGTTGTGGCAGAAGACACAACTTCCGTCCATGGGCACAACCAGGAGC